GTTCGAGCTTCATTTTAAAAATAAAAAAGGGAGACCTGCCACGTCCACAGCAGTGACTGCCGTGTAATGACAAAATGCCTCTGCGCTGGCTTTCGCCTGCTGAAGGATTGGGGTTAGAGCTTCCTGGAGCGAAGCCCCAGATGGTCCCCTGACAATCAGTGGTCAAGATAGGACCTGATGCCTTAGGCAGATCTTGTATCTAAAAATGGCCTTGAGAGCGAGCCCTCCTGACACCCTGCATGATCTTTCTCTGTATTTCTTATCTTTCCTGTTTTCAGCTGACTGCTCACCAAGAAATCAAAGTATGTCCTTGGCTCGGCCCCACCGTTCTTTAAGCAGTCCTTGAAAAACTGAAGCATGCCCCACGCCACATGAGCCTTAAAAACTTTATTAATAATAAAACAAAAGAATAAAAGACTATATAGACAAAAACTAGACCCAGGACTCTGAGAACTAGTCCCCCACAGTAAAATATGGTTAATGGTGTGAGACAAAATTCTAAGAGACAAAACTAAAAGTCCTTGCCAACACCTTGAGCACGTAGAAGGAGTTCTATTTTGATTATGCTTAGCCTTAATTTATGTCTAAAACCCTAAATGGGATGATGCAGTGAGCCTGCCAAGTTCTTTGATCTGTTTTGTACATAAACTAAAGCTTTGCAGAAGTAAAATTGCAGCAGATTTTCACTACCAGTGTGTCTGTCTGTCATTCCCTTGCGTCGTATCCTGGCTATCCTATCCTTCACCCTGTTCTCCTGTGGATAATGGTCTCCAAGAGGGACGGTCCGCGGCAAGGTTGGAAGGAAGTTCTTGGTACTTGTTATGCAAAGGGCCTCAATAGCATCACTAACCTAACTAGGAAACCAAATGAAAATGGGCTGGAGAGTCAAGATACGTGCTATATATGTCTTTTTCGCAGGAGAATCCTTTGAAGGCAGGGTCATTTCTGCAATGACGTCAGGCTTACTGAAGTCATTTGTATTCTGACTCTGAAACTGTGACTCCTTGGCACATTTTACTTTGTGTGACTATACAGCATTCTTTGGGCTCATAATTCTGCAGACCTGATTGAATTGAAAATTAAAATCATCTTTTTTAAAAATTGATTTCTATTGAGCTATACATTTCTCTCTGCTCCCCTCCTTGATTCACCCCTCTCCTTCAACCCTCATCCCATGGTCCCCATGTCCCCAATTTACTCAGGAGATGTCTTTTTCTACTACCCATGTAGATTAGATCCATGCATGTCTCTCTTAGGGTCCTCATTGTTGTCTAGGTTCTCTGGGATTGTGATTTGTGGGCTGGTTTTCTTTGCTTTATGTTTAAAAACCACTTATAAATGAGTACATATGATATTTGTCTTTCTAGGTCTGGGTTACCTCACTCAAAATGGTTTTTTCTAGCTCCATCCATTTGCCTGCAAAATTCAAGATGTCATTAATTAAAATCATCTTCCACAATGTATTTCCCTTGTCAGGAACCAGGGCCAGGAGGTTTTGAGCAGCGGAGTGGCAGCCTGTTCTTGTAGGATGAATGACATCACGCTTTGGGGGATGATTTTGTTTGTGTCCTTTCTGAGTCTACTGGAGAGCAAACCCAGCCTATTGGAGGGAAACCCACACCCAGCTTCGAGAGGGAGGGAAACCCACACACACACACACACACACACACACACACACACACACACACACGGCACTCCATGAGGCTTTGTGTACTGAAGCCTTTAGAAGTTGATTGGCAGGGTCAAGTGGCCACTGTTCAGAGTGTGACAAGCCTTGTTAATTGGCTCTTTGCTGAGAAAAATCTCACACGAGAATTTTTCTAGTGAGCCTGTTCTAGTAGGCGCGTCTAAACTGCCTACAGTTCCGTAGGGGCTGACCCCCCAATGCAACCAAGAGCTCCCCTGCCTGGATAAGGCTTTGAGACTCTGCTCTTCTGGGACATTGCATTCCCGAACTGTAGTCACACACACATGACAGAGCTGGAGCTGAGAGGAAAGCTCTTCTTTGGACAAGGTGGCCCGAAATCAGTGCTTAGGAGTCCCCTGGATCCATTAAAATCTTCCCTGAGAGTTCCTGCTGCGCATTCCAAGTGATTTCTTTGCCTTGGGGGCACTCACCACAGAAACTTTCTAAGTTCCAGGACAGAGGGGTGGTGTCCCAGCTTCCCTGCGTGATAAAACCACTGGACTACACCCTAGGAAAGATGAAGCAATACCTGCCCACAGGTACGGGAAAGGAGAGTGGAGGCTAGCTCATTCTACCAGCTGAGACTGGGAAAACCCTGGAACAAACTCCAAATGACAGCTTGTGCAAACGGGGTTACGTTTGTCCTTCCTTGCAATTCAGAAGTCCTAACCCTCACCAACCAGAAAGTGAGCAGAAATGTGTCTGTTCTTGGAGACAGGGTAGATTAGGGTACCTCTTATCTAATCTGTTCTGATTGCTGTCCTTAAAAAGAGATCGGGACAAAACACACTCAGAAGAAGGGGGAGGGGAGCCAGCCTGGAGCCTCAGAAGAAACCGCCTCCTCCAGCACCCTGCCCTCAGACCCAGCAGACTAACCAGGCTGCAGGCTGCGATGAAAAGGTGATCTGGGAGTTGTGTCCTGTGGGAGCCTCCTTGGCCACTGTATGATGCTTTACTAGTGCCTGCTCCCGTGTAGCTGGTGTCCTTGCTATGTGTCATGGGACAACGATGGCATGTGTTCTTTACATAGATGCTGATCATTTGTCTCCAGGTCTAGACAAGTGTAAGAATTGCCAAGTAGCTATTGGTTACTTATCAATCTGCTCATCTACTCATATTTCTGTTCTATCTTATCAGGCCAAGCCAGCTTCTTTATTAACCAATGGTATTCACAGCATACAGCGGGGAATCCCACATCCTCTCTCTCTCTCCCTCTCTCTTTTGGGGGTTTCTCTGTATAGATTTTGGAGCCTGTTCTGGAACTCGCTCTGTAGATCTGGCTGGCCTTGAACTCACAGAGATCCCCCTGCCTCTGCCTCCCAAGTGCTGAGATTAAAGGCGTGCGCCACCATCGCCCGGCTCACATTTCTCTCTTAAAGTTCACTGTGTAAGCCCCTTTCTTTCATCTGTGCATTTAAATTGCTAATGACTGGGTTGCCTAGCTGTTCTTTATAAAGGGGCATTTGGGGGTGTTTATCTTTCCGACTCAGAAAGTCAAGAGTGAGAGTTATTGTTGAACTCTTGTTTTATGCCTTGCTCTTCAAGCTTGGCAGAGACTAGAATTGGTTTAGGGGAGACTGATAAACGGGGAGCCCCTTATGTGGAAAAGGTTCCATGTAGGCATGTGGAAGTGTTCTGTGTGGCCCAGAATACATGTCAAGAGCACAATTCATTGCTCAGTTCATGTCTTTAAGTGAACATGAAAGGCAAAGAAAGGGATTAAAATAATTTGATGTATTAGTATCTCCATGGAGACCAGAGCCATGCATAATCTTTATGGAGCCCCTCACAGTCTCTTTTTGGAATTAGGGAAGTGTACAATCTGTCATAATTATGTATTGGAGGTGCAGAGAAAATGATAGGAGGCAGAGACGATGATCGCTCTCCCACTTAGCCGCAAAAGCAGTTATTATAACCGAGTTATGGTATTGTATACTTCCAAAGTTAGGAACCGGGGAGACTCAGTTTCTAGGATGGCATCAGGGAAGCGCCCAGGGTCCAGGGTTTGCATGCCCAGCCCTGGACTGCAGGCTTGACAGGTAGTTCTCATTCTCAACAGGTGGGGTAAATGAATGAATGAATGAATATATGCAAGCAATTCGCCGTTGGGCAGGATCTGATTCCATACGGGGGTCCTGTCAACCTTCTCTGCTCTGGGCAAAGAAGGGAAGGAGCCATCCACTGTCCTGCGGACACTGAGTAACACCTGCAAAGGTTGTATGCGAACCGGCAACTCCCACGTGACTGACTGCTTCTCTTTCCAGGAAAGGAACGTGGTACTCAGTAGTACAATGAAGCCCAAGATCAGCCAGTGAGGGAGTCACAGCCACTGAACGCTGGTCACTGTGCCCAGGTCAGTCAGATCCCATTGTGAGTGACAAGTTCACCCGTGATGGGGTACAAAAGGAGATGCTGATCATGTTCTGTAAATTATGTCGCATTGCACCCCCAGTCTCTCGTGGCCTCTCTGCTGAAACTTAGCCAGCAAAGGCATTTCTGAGTTCTCTACAGTCATCGGTCAGAGCTCTGTAGCATTCCAACTGTCTCCCTTCTTCCCATCACCGCCATGCTATAGGCCTGAGTGTGCTGACCCTTGGCGAATATTTATTTTAGTACGACGTCTTCATAGGCTGGGGTTAGCAGTGACTGAAGAAATCATTTTCAAGTACAAGGAAAATTGGGTGTATAACTGGGCTTCTCTGTGTGTGTGTGTGTGTAAATATTACCTTTTTATTTTTTATTTACCTATTTATTATTCTGGTCTCACATAGTCCAGGCTGGTCTGTAGCTCAGTATGTTGGAGAGACTGGCCTTGGACTCCCGATTTCCTGTTTTTACCTCCCAGTGCTGGAGTTTCAGGTTACACACATGTTTTTCTGTGTCCTGTATCTTTCCTGACGATATGTAAGGACAATATCTATATTATTGTATTAGTTACGGTCTCGTTGCCGTGACAAGACACCACGACTTAGGCAACTTTTATAAGAAAGTGTCTGTTGGGGCTTGTTGTTCCAGAGGGACTCGAGTCTGTCATGGCAGCTGAGGGCAGGAAGTTGAGAGCTCACATTTGGGAAGGGCACCAGGCTCTGACACATGAAAGCCCACCGCCAGTGACTACTTCCTTCAGCATGGCTGAGCCACCTATACCTCCCCTAACAGTACCCACCACCTGGGGATCAAGTGTACAAACAGACGAGCCTGTAGGGGACATTATCATTCAGCCACCACAATTACAAAACATTGAATCTAATGAAATCTGACTAGCCCTGGCTGTCTTGGCACTATGTAGACTAGGTTGTTCTTTTTTTTTTTTTAATATTTATTTATTTATTATGTATACAATATTCTGTCTGTGTGTATGCCTGAAGGCCAGAAGAGGGCACCAGACCCCATTACAGATGGTTGTGAGCCACCATGTGGTTGCTGGGAATTGAACTCAGGACCTTTGGAAGAGCAGGCAATGCTCTTAACCTCTGAGCCATCTCTCCAGCCCCGACTAGGTTGTTCTTGAACTCACAGAGCTCTGCCTGCCTCTGCCCCGCCAAGTGTTGCGATTAAAGGCCTGTGCCACCACACCTGGAACTCTCTTTGTAGACCATGCTGGCCTTGCACTGGAGATCTGCCTGCCTCTGCCTCCCAAATGCTAGGTTTGAAGGCACGAACTACTCCACACTACACCCTTGAAACACATCACAAGGTACTTTCCCCAAGGCTGAAGTCTCTTAGCAGAGACTCTCCTATATTTCCTTCAAGTTACTCTAGGCAGGCCCCATCCCCTGCCCCCCATATTCTTTATGTGCTTTTGTTTTGTTTTTAGGTTCGGACTGTTTGTGTAACACATAAACTCTTGGGTATCGGGGTTCATACTTTCAATGCTTTTTAATTCACTCTTGAAAGGTAGCAAAGCTTCTCAGGTGACCCAGCGTCATCCATCATGAAGACTTTGGGAAGGATACTGGAGGATGCGTAGGCAGTTGCCCGGGTTTCCAAACAGAATCGGGTTGACATTCTCTCCTGATCCAGGGCCCGGAGGGAGCCCGTGCTCTTGGAACACCTCGGAATACAAGGACACCTCAGCGAATAATCTCTTCCCCACCTCAGTCGCGGATTTACGCCTGGCCTCCTATTTCTGACCCTTGGGAACTCATTTTGTATGCCTAACCTTGCGCAGCCGCGGTGCAGAATGGCCATTCATGAAGGAGGCCTCAGGGCTCCTAGACTGTGAGACGCAGCGATTCTGAAAGACTCTTCGACCACTTCCTATTTGCCACTTGTAAATAAAGAACTTCCTGGAGGAGCACGGACCCAGTCCATCCTTCCCTGTTGTCTGCAGAAGAGGCAGGCTAGAAGGCGGGCAGAACCTGTGCCCAGAGTGGGCCTGGCGGCTTTAGGAGCAGTGAAGCGAGGGGAGGGCTGGGTTAGAGTCTAGACGCCGTTTCCTTCTATTGTCTACCCTTCCTCCGTCACCCCTCCGCACCCCACTTTCCCCTTCTTGTGCGCAGCTCAGAGACGGCAGGGGTGGACGGGAGTGCGGGGAGCAGCCCTTCCTCCGTCTGGTTAAGTTTTCACACCCGGCGGCCCAGGCGAGGCTGAGTTCAGTAGCCAAGACACCGAACACCAACCCTCTCTATCTACCCTTGGGGTTTCCTTCTTGGTCAGGCTGGAAACTTCGCCCAGATAGAGAAGACGCATCCGCCCGGGTCTTTGGGAACAGGCCCCTGGCTAGGCCACTCCGGGGACACCCCGAGTGCAGACTCCGGCCTCTGGAGGGCCTGGGAGGGGGCAGAGGGAAGAGCAGGAGGGGGCAGTGCTCTCCGCTCCCCCACTCCGCGAGCGAGGCCCACCGGCTTCTGAGTCCCGAAGACCACCCCCTGCGCGCACTGCCCCGCGCGCGACCCGCGGAGCCCCCGTGGATCTCCGCCCTCCCGGCCGCTCGCTCACCCGCCCGCAGGGAGGCGCGACTGCGGCCTAGGGCGCCCGGCGGCTCCTCCTCTCCCCCTCCCCCTCCCGGAAGCGCGGGGCGGGGTCCCCGGCCGGGCCGCGGGGGCGGGCGCGGGGGCCGGGCCGGGGCGGGGCGCGGCGGGCTGTGCGCGCCCACTCGGCTCCAGGCGGCCAGCGTTCGCGGGCCCAGGCCGCCCGCCTCTACCCGAGCACCGCGGCGGAGCAGCGGCGGGAGCCCCGGGAGAAGCAGCTGCAGTCGCGCGAGGCTCCCCCTCCACCCCCGCGCGCGCCCCTCGCCGCCCGCCCCGGGCTCCGTGTATGGGGACGCGGCTCGCCAGCCTCCGTTGAGACCGTCCCCCGGGTACGGTGGCCTCGGGCTCCAGAGCCCGCCCCGCCACCCGAGGGCTGCGCGCGGCTCCGGGCCTGCTCGCTGCGCGGCTCCGCGCGTCCCGGGCCAGGAAGTGGCCGCGCTGAGCGCCATGGCCCACTCCCCGGTGCAGTCGGGCCTTCCGGGCATGCAGGTAGGCTGGGGCGGCCGGGGCGGGCGAGCTGCGGCCGGGGCGGGCGAGCTGCGGCCGGGGCGGAAGCTGGCAACTTGGCGGTGTCAACACGGCCGCCTACTCCCCCCCCCCCACGCGGCGGGCCCGTTTCCCCCGGGATCTTTGCCAGAGGCTCGGGCGGTGGGGCCCTCCGGTGTGTGTGCACGTGGAGGGGCCGTGGGGTCCGCGGCCTGGGGCCGAGGCGGAGTGCGGGAGGGAGCTTTGCGCTCCCCAACTCCGACGCTCAGGCCGACGGCCCATCCGGGGCAGGAGTGTGAACTAGTGTCCTTGGAGGCCCCGCTTGGGTGCCCGGGCCCTGTGTGGGCCTGGGACGGAGGCAGCGCGACTCCGGGGTCCCCAAGAGTCTCCCTCCCCGGACCCCCCCCCCCCGACTGGAGACCCGAGCGCAGGGCGGGGAGCACGCCCCGGCTGCTCCCAGGCCGGGCGGGCCGCAGGGCGGGGTGCAGGAAGGTGTAACCTCGCTGGGGAGCCTGGTGCGGAAAAGTGCGAGGCTGCAAAGCCGGGAGGCGGAATCCACACCTCCGCGTGCGCCCTGGTGTGCAGAGCCCAGGTTCGCCCCCCGGGTGCCAGGACTCCGCGGCTGGACTTTTCACTCTGAGACCCGTTTGCTCCCCGGCTTGTCCCAGCCCATACTTTGTGTCTTCTTTGCCTGCCCCGTGACTTTTCTGTGGAAGGGATGGGGGGGGGGGGGCGTGAGGGAGTTGAATTTCAAATTTACATGAATGCACGGACATTTTTTCCCCCGTCATTGAGGACTGTTTTCGGTTCTTTGAAAAACAATCACTAGTCTGTTCCTAACTTGTGAAGTTTGTAAGCGCACAAATGCTGACAGAATGATTGCGACGGAGACCGCAGGACCAGTCAGAGTTTTGCTTTCCCAAGCGAGTCAACGGGAGACTTTTGCTAAAACCCCGAATATTGACGATTACCGTTTTATAGATGCAACAGGCGCGTTTTCTCTGGTTCAGAATTGAGTTGCAGTGTCCCCGGCCTTGGCCCTTACCGCTTCTGCCCGCCTCTTCTGAGGTTATTTCTTATCCTCCCTCCTTTAAAGAAATTTTTTTTATTCATACCTCGAGAAGAAAACTGGAATTCATTGACCAGGTTTGAACTCTAGAAAAATAGAAACTTAAAGTCAGCACTTTAGTGACCACTAGAACCCTAGTCATCTTAATTTTTTTAGGGATAATAAAGTTGGAGTTAAGAGCGATTGGAAAAAGATGGTCGTGGAGCCTCACCTTGTGCTTGTAAAATCCTGATGTTGCCGGCCATTAGTTAAGAGTCAGCTGCGGCCTCCTACAGCTTTGCTTTGGTTTGAATTTAGAGGCAAGAGATGAGGGTGGACTGAATGAGAAACAATTTCTTAAGCAGTAGAGCAAGGACCTCTTGGGACATTAACCGTTTCTTCAGTGTTTCCTTTTCCTGGCTACTACAGTGTCTTAATGGGGACCCAACATTGGTGCCCACTAACCTCAGCCTTTGTAAAAGAAAGTGTTTGAAAAGATGCTTAATCCTGGCACAGTGCTGCGAAGCCGGCTCCCCCCCCCTTTTGTTTTTTAAAGAATGGGCCAAAATTATTCATCCTAGGAAAAGAAAAAAGTCAATAACTTTACCCCCCCCCTGTGTATTTTCTAAGTGGTCTTGTTTTTTGTTTTTCAGTATAAAGATAGTAACTTTTCAGTAGATTAATTTTTTTTTTTGGTCAGTTTTGGTTCGGTAGGGGAGGGAAAGTGGCTTCCCACAGTCATTCCTGCCCTTGTATACATCTTCAAACCACATGATAATTTTTTGGCGTCCTATTGGAGAAAAAGCATTCCTTCCCCTCTCCTCCCCTTCCCCCACCCCCAGGAAAGTCAAAGGAGCAGCCTAGAGTCAGCAGCTGCGGCCTCCCTAGGAGCTCTTTGAAGGATTACATTAAAGGCACACCTGGCCGTGACTCTAGCCAGTATAAAACTGGGGAGAAATAGGCACCCCCTTTGCCATGGTTCTTATGAGGAACCGCGATCTCACCTCTGGGCTAAGACTTAGGAGATGGGTTAAATTCTTTGTCAAGCTGGGTGCAGTATTGGCTGTCTATAATCCCAACCCTCAGAAGGCAGAGGCAGGTGACTCTTGTCAGTTGAAGGCTGGCCTTGTTTACGTTACTGAGTTCCAGGCCAGCTAAGGCTTCCAGTGAGACCCTTGATCAAACAAACAAGACAAAGTTTGGCAAGATCAGGGAGCAGCTTCAGTCAGCCCAAGGAAGTTGTTAAGAAAATTCACCTGAATTCAGGAATGCTTTAGTATAAGGACTATTTTTATGGCATCTGTTGATTATTACAGATGAAGAAAGATATTATCTCTACCTTTTTATAGCTCTGTGACCCATGAGGTAGGAGTTGAATGGACCAAGGTAAACTGGTGTAGGTGGGTGACTCTTCATTGCCCTCAAGACAGCATCCATTCCCCATGTCCCGCCTTATTGTTCCTTTGGCAACTGTTACACATCATTTTATTTTAGGTTGTATTTACTGAGGAAAGGGAAGGTACAGGATGAGTGGTTTGTTCAGTCGGTAGCCACGATTGACAGCTCTTCCGTAGTCCTTGGTGAGGGGTGGGTGGTGGCACACCTGGCTGGTTTTTGTTTATTTACATGCATTGGCTTTTTTTTTTTTTTTTTGCCTGCTTGTGTGTCCATGCGAGGGCGGCAGATCCCCTGGAACTGGAGTTACAGGCAGTTATTATAAACTGCTATGTGGGTGCTGGGAATTGAACCTGGGTCCTCTGAGAGAGCAGCCAGTGCTCATGGGCACTGAGCCATCTCTCCAGCCCCAACCTGACTGTTTTGATGAAACGTTAGGGGATTTTCTTGGTTTTGTGATGGAGGATAATTAGATGTGGCTGTGAGTATCCTGCTGTCACTGTAGCGAGCAGCCCTTGCTTTATGCGCTTGAGTCCCAGTGAAAATAAAGACCTAAGCTGGAGCTGGGAACACCCATTTCATGCTAGAGTTTGCATTAAGTTATGGTGCAAAAAATTAGCTTTTTGCTTATAAAATTCTTTGGTAAAAGATATTTTGTGCCGGGGGTGGGCAGGGTGGCACAAGCCTTTAATCCCAGCACTCAGGCGAATCCCTGTGAGTTTGAGGCTAGGCTGGTCTACAGAGTGAGTTCCAGAACAGCCAGGGCTACACAGAGAAACCCTGTCTCAAGAAATGAAATGTGTGTATGTAATGTGCACTAGGCGTGTGAAGGGTGCTGAGAACCAGACTTGGCAGAAGTCCGTTTCTGTGGTACTGTGTATTTGTGTATGGGATTCTGTAGCACTTTTAAGGCTGTCCTGGGCTGTGACCCTTGTAAGAGAGAGGCTGGAAGCTAAAGCTTCAGGTCCTAGCTCTGTTTCCTTACTCCTTGTGTTAACATGCAGTCTGGTATGTTAAGAAAAAGCTGGTTTTAACAGTGAATTGATTGCACAGCCTACAAGTTCATGACCCCAAGTTTAAAATGTACTGAATTAGGGAAGTGATGTGTATAAGAGGGCTGGCGTGAAGTCAGCATGCTTTGAGGTTTTGAGTTAAGAGACCCTTGTGTTTGCAAGTATAGGTGATTTAAAGGGATAGTTAAGGAATCTTAACTATCTACTTGCTGATGTTATCTTATGTCCCTTCTGGAGCTCCTGGGCAGCAAGCCCTTGCTTTGAGGAGACCTGTGCACTGGGTAGCCAGGGAAGGGTGTTCACTAGCACGTTGGAAGTCTGGGAAATAAGACATCAAGACCATTGCAGTTAGTTCTGCCTCTGGCCTCCCTATCCCCTCGTGTGGTGTATTTTACAGGGCTGTGCTCTCGCCTTCTCCCCTAACTGCCCTCCTGGAGATACCTGCTCTTGTTGCCCTGCCCTGCTCCGAACTGCACCCTGGGGGTGGTTGGGTGCCTTAGGGACTTTCAGTGAAGTGGCGAGGCCTGGGTTCCAAGAGCTTCATGGGTGAGGCTGCACACAGAAGGAGGTTTAGCACTTTCTGGCCCTCCTGTCGATGAGTCACAGGGAACCAACCATACGAGGGCTCCAGATATGCAGGTCCCTGGCCTCTGATGGTCAGCAACCCTTGCAGGATGAGCCCTAAGAAGGTTCAGGTGACCAGGCACAGGCTTGGAAAGCGGCAGGCTTCCCGAATGCAGAGGCAGGGTGTCTAGGGGCCTGGTGCTGAGGCCCGGGGTTCTCAGGCGTAGGTGATGGGGAGAGTGGGTTCTGGGTGTGTGCCCGCTGTGAGGATGCCCAGGGACGGTGGGAACTTTGGTGTTCCTGAACAGCTAACCGATGCCCTGTAGGATTCTCACAGACCTTGGTGACTTGAATTTGGTGACTTCTGTCACACACTTTGCCTTACTCTGCAGTCTGTGTGATCGCAGAATAACTGAGGAAAGTCAGGTACATACATCTTCCTGTTACTTACGTCTTTTTCTCCCCAAGACGAGTTCTTCATGTTGTCCAGGTTTGCCTTGAACTCAGCCTCCTGCTTCCCTCCCCATGGCTTGGATGACTTACAATTTATTCAGTGCTTGGCCGGTGCTTGACTCCAGCCCTTGCACCTCTCAGTCTTTCTGTACCTGTGTCTATTCCTAACGCTCCCTCATCGCTAAGAAATTGTTTTGCTTGACCCCTTTGTCTAGTGCTATCCCACTGAGCCACATACTGTTCCCATCCCTGGAATGTCCTCCCTACCCCCTGTAGGGAATGGGCAAGGCTGTAAATTATTTTTTAATATTTATTTTATGCACACGTGTCTGACTGCATGTGCACCATGTGATTGCTCTGCGGTTATATCCTCGGATCCCCGGAGCTGGAGTTAACAGGCAGTTGTGAGCAGTTCCCTGTGTGTGTTGGGAACCGAACCCTGGTCCTCTGCAAGAGCTGCAAGTGCTCTTTACTGCTGACCTATTTCTCCAGCTCTGAGACTAAAACAGTTCTGTGTGTGTGTGCAGATG